TATATATATATATATATATATATATATATATATCATAGATTTTTTTTATTAATCTGACATATTTTTGGTATCTGTCTATATTTCTGAGATGAGGTATTATGTACATTATTTACATTATTTGGACTATTGTCCTCATCTTTGTCGTCATATTTATTGCAACGTTTCGGCCGTTGTATGTTCCGGCCTTCTTCAGGTGGTTGGAATGTCGAACTTAACCCTTTATTTCGCTCACTGGGATAGACTGTTCTAATTCCACGTGCCATGTTTAATGGATGTCAGTTATCAGTTATCTCCTGTTAATTTTCCTCTGAAAGTTCTCTGCTGCCTTAACCGGGTATTGAACTCACACTCCTTGGGTCCTGTCACTGGATCTAACTAACGCCTTTATCCACTGTACCATTTTTTCTTCAAACCAATTCGTTCATATTGACTATAGCCAACATTCTCGACGATCATTGTCTTAATCTAGGCTAAATCAAGATTAGTAGATATTCATAATCACTTTTATTTTGTATGATTAAAGGAACGGAATACTATCTGGCATCAGATACTAAATTACAAATAGTAAGTTATACGGAATGATAATTTGCTAGAACATGAATATAGTAAATGCAGAATCCAGGGAATAGAGAAGATTACATTAAAAATCTGTAAACTCGTTCTGTACATCGACTAATTTCTATCTCCAGTAATTGCCCAAAGAGAGAACAGACTTGCAGATGTGCCGACGGCAAATGAAACCATAGTTTGGGTGAAGTAATTCGCAGAGACACGCCTAACTTCTTTATTTCAAGCGGAAAAAGAAGCAAGCTTTATTTCAAGTCACTATGGCGGAATAGTGTATTCTACTGATTAAACAGGTTTTCATGCTTCAGCTCTTTGCACACACACATACACACGCACACACACATATATATGTGTGTGTGTGTGTTTGTATATGTGTGTGTCTCTGTATATATGCATTTTTTGACGCAAACATATGTTCTTACACACACACATTCCGTTACACTCACTCTCATATAAAAACATGGGAACAAATGCATAGATATAAAAACACTGACACACACTTGTACAAACAGATATACAGCCAGGCGCACATATATACACATATGCTTAGACACGTTAGCATACACACATGTACACATTCATACACGCATACAGGGCGCCAAAGACATAAACTTACACGCAATCATACAGAAATCCATCTACCTAGGGACATTTGCTCTTCTCAACTAAGAAAATGCACATTTAAGAGAAAGCATATTTGTACGAATTCCATTTTAGCCTTAAGTGGAGAGTTGGGCAAATCTTTTAGTTCCCAGAACCAAAAATAAACTTCAATATTTTAATTACAATCAGGGAAAAATGAATGTCTTTAAATTTTAAAAAGGTACTGCAGGTTGTGTTGAATACCCACAAAATATATTTGGTAGAAAAATACGTGAGCCTCAGAAGTTAAACATATTGCCGTATTTCCACTCTTCTATCTTAGCGACAGCAGACAACCTTCGACATCGCAGCAGGCAGACATAACATATTTTCTGGTCTGTAGCCGCTGAAATATTTCCCATAATAAATTCTGTAGTTTTATGTCAATTCGGATAGCGGGGAAACCTGTACTGATGTAGGTCTGATGTAGTTCTTCGGTAATAGTAAAATAAACTGGAGGATATCTGGACGCGTGGAAATCATTCATCTACACATAGACTGAAGGAATATCATCTTATCATTTCTCACAGAGCTGTGTTCGATCGCAGGTAGATTATAGATTTTATAATGTTGATTTTTAAATATTTCTTTACTTGGAAGAATGATGCTAAGCAAAATCCCTGCATTTCGCCATTTGCTCAATTTAATTCTGCACCTGAGAAAAATGAGTAAATCTCTCTCTCTCTCTCTCTCTCTCTCTCTCTCTCTCTCTCTCTATATATATATATATATATATATATATATATATGACCTTTTTGTTGTCTGAAGTAGTTATGCAATTTCCATCCAGTATCAGCGGCCGATTATGGATCAGAATTTGATATGATATTTATAAATCAGGATAACTTTTTCCATTTCGAAATCTTCCTACTATTGTATTCCAGTTAGTCTTGCGATAGACTAAAGATAAACTAAGTGAATACCGAGGAAATAGACACATCTTGGTCCTTTCATCCTTCTTTCCTTCCCCCTTAAAAATACTTACGCATAGATTTGCATCTACGATTTATATATGTGGTTCATGTACGTGGATAAATTGTGGAATGCAATTCATCCTTTAAAAATTTATAATATTAACTAAAACAAGAGTTCGACCTGTATGCCAGGTCTAAAATGTGTTAATTATATTGGATTCCTAGGAGATCAAGTGGTGATTAAGAGTAGCTGCGTATTTCTCATCGACGGTTGTATAATTCCCCGTAGCAAGTTTTCGAACTCAGGTGGAGACTAGCCAAAATGACCAGTAATTACGCGAGCTGGAAGCTAATATTCAATATATAATCCTTGTTTTAGAGAACAGTATTTAGAAAAATGGTAAGAAATCGTAAGAAAATCTTCAGTAGATTGTACTCAAGTGACTCACATAAATGGTTTGACAAAGCAGTGGAGATAAAGCCTTCAAATTCTTGATTGCGCAAAAATACGAAAGGCGTTGCATGATACCTGTTGGTATTGACAGACTGCTACAGGAATTTTATACATATCACTAAGCTGAACTTGTGCCATCTCTTCTGTCATACACAAATATCAACAAATTGTCTCCAGAAGAGCTGGTGAATGGCCTAATATTTCTTAATCTTTTTTCAAGAAAAAATATTGCAGTCACACCTCTTTTTATTACATTTCGCCAATAATGCGCTTCCTTATAAATTGGAGATTTGTAACAACACTGGCAGCTGAGTTTGCTCACTTTATATCACTATGTCACATTTTTGTGATTCTTACAAAATTACAAGCTTTTGCATCATTGCTATTTTGAAATTACGCCAATTAATAACGTTACATGTATGTAATAAATATTCGAATTAAACATTTTTTAGCAATGAAGTAAATTTAATTAAGGTATGGCTTTTTAAACCTAATGCTATTGAACAATTAATAATAGCAAACATTAACTTTTATATACACTGAGGAACGCTTTATTATGATGATCATCTGGTGAACCAGAATTGACTCCGCGTACTAAACTTGTATAAACTTGTAAAATTTTAGTTCAGCTCTCAGTTTTTTTTCCTAAAATTTTGGCCAATTAGATTTCAATTTTTCCTTCAATGCCTATCGAATTTTGTAACCTTTAAATTTTTTCCGAGACGAATCTGTTGTTATTTTAGCAGCGAAGAAAAAAGCGAAAAGAGATGAACACTGATGAATACGAGATACAGCATTTGGGGAAGGCCAGAGATTATACTGGCTAAAACGTAGTGTTAACCCCCCACCCCCTCAAAAAACGAAAAAACAAAGATGAAGATTCTTGTTGTGTCAACTCATTAAATAAAAAAAAACAAAAAAAACGTTAGGTTCTGTAGCAATGAAATCTAATGGTATTCCACATTAAATATATGTTTATTTTTTAATCTTTTTTGTAAATTGTATTTTAACATAAACGTAAACTCTTTACACGTTGGTGTGAGCTACAGAAGATAAAAAATTGAATCTTGAAGTATATAATTCTGACATGACTCGAATTAAAAAAAAATGCTAACAAATCTCTTATGAAGAATTTCCTTCATTTCAGACACTACTTGAATTTTCGAAGAGGCGAGGATAGAGGTAATAAACACGTCACAGCTGTGCCACTGAATCATATACGGTTGACTGACGAGTGAAACGCAGGTCAATTTGCGTTTATTTTCTTCTGGAGAATTAAAGAAAAATAAATCTAATATTATGTTTTGCTTTAATGGAGGATTTATTTGTCATGTCAGAATGAAAAAGACATTGGTGACGACATTTTCTGCTTCTCGCTCTGTGAATCTTTATTTTAGTTAATATATTTGTGATTTTAAGCGTTAGTGAAACACGCTTTCAGAAGTCATGCTTTCGAAATTTAGCGGTTAAAGCAGTTGGTACGTTCAACTAGGTATCCCTGTCGAAAAAAGAACGTGAGTTCGAATCTCACATAGAGTTTATCCTTTATATTCGATCATGTGTTGTCTACTCAGTCATAGATTGACTGCTCGATTGACGTTGTAATTTACTAGGTTTTTATTTGTTTAACATAGGCAGTTTCCTTGTAAAACTGACTTCAAATACTGATTTCTAAAACAGCTACAAGAAAAATGGGCACTTTTTATGACAGTTTGCATTAGGTGAATGCAATGTTCTCGACACTTTTTTTGAAAACTAGACACTGAATATACAGTTGAAAATCATTTTTCTTCTAGAAACCTTTGCACATAACTAATACTTAAAAAAATCGTCAGTTCGTAGATAATATAAATGTTTCTCTCTCTCTCTCTCTCTCTCTCTCTCTCTCTCTCTCTCTCAGAAACACACATATACATATCCACAAAATAGGCTAAATTTACTTGTAAGTTTTTTGTTTGTAATATTTGTAATTTCTAACTTTTTACTGTACTAGAGAACTATCTCACTTGAAATGGTGGTGTCAGATATTAGTGTCTTTGCTATGATAAAAGTGGGCTGCCTACGAAACCAGACCGACTCCGTGAAAGAGTAGGGTGAAGGAATAATAACTGGAAAATATATTTAAAATTGTTCTATTTCTGACGGTGTGGGTAAGCTAGTATTTTAGAGAAAGGTTATTTTTTGATTAGGTTTCATACCAGCCTATCATTATTTGCTAAACAATTTAACTCAGTGTGTCGTGGCTAGATATACAAAACTCTTGGAGAATTATCAAATGGCTTTCTGTTATGAAGGCCAAATTTGAAGTTTCTGGCATCGTTCTAGTTTAATAAAACTAAGTAAAATATAACTTGCCAGAGAAGAGATTAACTCGTCATAAATAATTGTTGAATGACATTAAACCCCATACCACTCATTGTGTTATGATTTATTGTCGAATATCTTCTGGCGCGATTTCAAACAAATTACGTAACTTTCTTTCTTTCTCTCTCTCTTTCTTTCTTTCTTTTCTTTCTTTCTTTCTTTCACACATTTTTTTCATTTCTTCCTTTGGTCATTTCTTCTTTCTGTTCTCATTTTTTCTATTCTTATCCTCTCTTTTGACTCATTCATTATTTTCTTTTTTCGCTTATTTTTCTCCATCATTTTAAAAACTATATCTATTCACTTTTTTCCTTATCCAGCGCTGTCGGTGATGCCTAGGGCATCACCTGCATAGGATAAAACCCCCACCTGCAAGAACTTACCTAACAAGTAAATTCATACAGACTCGATTATAAACAATCAATGTTTAACTATCCCCAAATCAAGTAAATGCCTAAGGATTCAAATATAAACGATCAATATTTATCTATTCCCGAATCATGTAAATACTCATAGGATCAAATATAAGGCCGATTTTGACATCAAATAACCAAACACCAAACTTTTCTTGTCTTTATTTCTTTCTTTCTTTGAAACCCACCTTTCCCTGTCCTCTTTTACTTATCGTGTAATCAAGTGCGTAAAGAGGCCATCATTTGGAAAAGAATGCAAACTCCTTTGTCAGATAACAAAGAGAGAACGAATCTTTTCAAAAACTTGTGATGAACGTCGATGCATAAACCGGGAGAGAATAAGAAAATAGACATTCAGCAAGGAGAGATGGCCGATGTTTTGTTTAGCTTTTTCCTGTTTCACTTAAAGAGAAGAGCTGGAAGTTGAAATATGGCGGAAAATCGGACCGGAAATAAATCTCGTGATGACAATCACATAGTGTCTTTATCAGCGCCATTGCTGCACGTTAGTTGTGGACAGAGATCAGGTGTTAGTCTTCCGCCTCAGACATTGGTCTTCTGTCAGAATTACTCCCCATCAAATTTTCACTGACATCTGCACGACATTGGGATAGAAAACCAGTGAACTGATAAAAGGAGGAGGAGGAGGAGGAAGAAGAAGAAGAAGAGATCTCTATTAAAGAAGGAAATGAAGAAGAATGAGAAGATAAAGAAAAAGAGATGATGAGGAATGAGAAGAAAAAAGAAAATTAAAAGATCAAGAAGAAAAAGAAGAAATTAAGTTGAGGAGGAGGAATATGTAAAATTAAAGGCAAAAACGAAATATGAAGATATACATTGAAATCTTTCATGTTTTGGCAGGGGAAAAGACAAAAAATATTTTAATATAAGTTATGACCTATGTGCATTATAAACTATATATATATATAGTGCTGTTGTAGCAGATATGAGCACAATACTCCTATAACTAATTAGCCACAACTACTACTATATAATACTACTACTTACGTTATTGTTTTATTTTATGAGACCCAGTCGAAGTTGACTAGTGATATTAACAATGGCTAATGTCTTGTCAGCTAAAATAGTTATCAGAGAGGAATTTGTTAACGAACTCACAAACTCATTTTTTCTTCCTTTAATCACGCTATCGATATCTTTGTGAAGACATATAGTAATGAGTAAGAAAGCCGATATTTGATTTGTGCCTTTCCAAATGACACTCTTGCTAAGTGAGATGAAACAACTTGAGCAGATATTCGAGCCATTATCCTATCTAATAGTTCCACAAATAATACTACTTAAGAAAATATTTATAACACAAAGGAAAAATTAAATATTTGTGATCTAAAAATACCAGTATTTTTCTGCAGCTATTTAGGTGTTAAACAGTAAGCTGTAAGTTGTAATTGGTTATCGAGCTGTGTGGAAAAATAAAGGGCAGAAAGATTGTGTGACCCTCGGTGTTGAAGCATGAAAGATTTGTCTGCCTTGAAAAATAGCTGTCGAAATCTTGGCCTTGTTTGGGGGCTCAATTACTCGTACCTGTGGGAAGAATTACAACGAAACAACACGAGACACGCCTAGATTCACTTAGATACAAAATAATTAGATTCGGTCGTTCTCAGTTATACTGAGTGGGGGTAAGTTCAAAGATAAGTGACAGATATAAGATTCATTCTTACCATAAATATTACAACATCAACATATTCTTTCCGTATTAAGTTGAAAACGCAACTTTTCCCTCAAAAGAAGCACTTTATTGTCTCTCTTTGGCATCTTTGGACTTTTGGGGTCCTTATTAATTAAAAAATAGCAAATGTTTTAATATTATACATTTCATTCTCTAATTCTATTTTCACTTTTATATATATTATGTACTTTTGAGTAAGAGCGTATATATACGTTTATGTCTGTATATTTCGATTTTGTGGCAGAGATTGTTACTTCAGCGTTTGAATCATTACACATTATGTATTCCCAGAGATCTATCTATCTATCTATCTATCTATCTATCTATCTATCTATCTATCTATCTATCTATCTATCTATGTTCTTATTCATATTGATAAACACGCTCAAACATATTTATTTATAAGTGTTAGAGTCTTGGAAAAAGATCATCTTACACATGTGATTCTTATCTTCGAAGCGTTTATTCGTTTCTGCAAAAAGTTCATAAAAAGGAGGAACACGAATTTTACTTATCAGCCATTGACTAAATCAAAAGACTACGGGTAGATAATAAGTGTAACGGTATGTGGGTCCTTCCAGCGCTAGTTTCTGATGCGACAGTTAAGTTAGGGGGACCTCCCACAACCTGCTGGGGATTCCGGGCTCAGAAATCATTAGTCCTAGATCGTCAGTTTTTAACATGGCTTTATAATGCATCTAACTTTCTTACAGGCGTGTTGATTCAAAATAAGCTATCTAGAATGTAACTGAGAGAACACCAGCGTGTGAGGTGATCTCGCAGGCTACCTTCTACTGTCTTTTTATAGGTACTTGCCAAGGTTAACTGCGATTGTAGAAACGTTTTACTTTTTCCGCTGCCTGAGCAAATAACGATGTTATGGGAGAGTGGATTTCCACAACTGTAAACTAAACAATATGAATAAAAATAAGCTATTCAAAAAAAGTAATGAATGAAATTCAAAGAAAATAAAACTTACAGTATCCCTTGCCTTTCGAAATTTAGCAATCGGTAATTTTGATTTTATGGAATATCTACTTTAGTAATGTTTCTCCACTATCCAAAGTTTTATTTAATGCCTACATTAGTAAGGTCTCACTCTTATCCGAAATGGTGTAAATCGAAGAAAAAATTAACATTAATTTATACAGGAAAACTTAAAAAAAAACACTCCAAAAATATTATTGTTGTCTGTCTGCTTCGATGTTGCTATGGCTGATAAATGAGATTTAAAATAGGATATATTTGGATTCTTAGTTTCGTACATCTTGCAAGCCTTCCCTAAATCTGTACCATCGTTCAAAATTAAAATTTGATGCAATCATTGCAGTACTTTAAATTGTAGCTAAAATATTTACAAAAAACTATTCCCCAATGTTTCATAGGAATACTCTGTTTTGGATAGAAAGAGAGTCCTGTAACCAATTTTTATTCACTTGATAGCATATGATGGGATACTGAAAAATTCTCTGCCCGACTAAAAATCTCTTCCTACCATAAATAATTGGATTTTTGTTTATTTGTTCAGATTTTAGGAAGTGAGTCAGACCAGAAAGTTTTCTGCAGCTCTATAATGCATTGCTGGAATTCGAAATCGGATCGTCGATTTCATCCGAAATCTGTTATGCATCCCTTTTTCTTTCTTTCTTTCTTTCTTTCTTTCTTTCTTTCTTTCTTTCTTTCTTTGAAGATGAGATATATACTTTTTTCTCTACTATCTGTAACGTTCATACAATACGTTTAATGTATTCACATAAATATCAAAGCATACACACACAAAACACATTTTTATCTTTGCTGTGAAGAGACAAAGCCTATTGCAAACTCGTCACTTACTAGTGCCACCACTGATTGCATCAATAATAATTATTTGCAAACATGTGAACAACTACAGCCACACGGTCAAAAGAAGGGAAAGGCAGTTTGATTGGTCAGATTCCACAGAGATAAATTACAAATGCGACAAATGTCGTACTATTTTCAGATTAAGTAATAAACTAGGTAATGCTCATATTGTGTGAATTTGTACACCTCTCAGGGAGCCATTTGCAGCCGCGCCACTCCCAGTTTGCATCAGTTATACAGCACTGATTCCTATCATTTTGCCTTGACGATATCTATGTTTATGACGATGGCAGATTTTGTGTCATGAAGGAAAAACGAGATACGATGTTTTTCTTTCTTACGTGGTGGAGGCAGGTACTTTAAAACTCAAATCCAAATTTCAGTAAGGAAAATTATCTTAAATTAAGATGATCATCCTTAGTATAGACTGTTTCATCGGGGCTGATGCATCATTTAATAAATGTTTTCACCGGCGATAAAGTTTTTTTTTGCTAGCATTAAAACCCTTGCTTTAAAGCTAGCATTGAAAGTCATCACGGGGTGTTGGTTCTTACACTGTCTAAATATATTTAAGTTCTCTTTCCAATATTGAGCACACTTCCTCTATGAATATAGGAAATTTTAAACAATATATATATATATATATATATATATATATATATATATATATATGTATGTATCTATATATAAATTGTGTGTGTGTGTGCGTGAAGATAACAAAGCCTTGGTATTTTGGCTGAAGTAGTGGTCAGTGTTCGGGTAAAACCAGGATTATTAGGATTTTTTCATATACGTAAAAGAAGATTGTAGCAGACTGATGATGAGTCAACTTCTCGATTCGCCAAAGGAAAGGAGTTTTGTATACTTCTCGGTATTGTCCCAGACAAAGCAATTCTTAGTGAATAACTAGAGTTCCTATAAGCGGGAAAATAGTTAACAGATGCATCTGACATGAAGGTTTAACTAATGTAATCTATTGTTTTACAAAGGCAAGCTAATAACCTTGCCTTTGTACAACAATAGATATCAATAATTGAAATCATGAATGCATTTCATTCTGCACTTTCCTCGCTGCTAAATTTATTTATTAAATATATCGTCACTGACATGTCATGATGAGTGACAGAGAAGAGAGTAGGTGTGTGAGCACATGGGCAAGGAAATCTCCCGGAGCGATCTTTCTGTTCTGGGTAAGAAAGATATGAGTAAAAGTTTGTTACTTCTGTGGTCAACCTGTACAAGAACCAATTCTATATCCAGTAATTTGGGATACATATTTACTTGTCTATCTATACAATTTGCCATAAACTGATGCTGAAATCTAGAGATTTGGTTCACAGTAGGTTCAAAATATACTTTCCTACTTTATCTGCCTCGGTAGAACAATGTCTGTTCATATCTATCTCAATATGAGCATAATTTTTACTATGGAAAAACTATCTATTAATCCGTGCTTGTTCAGATCTAGCTATTTATTTATCTATCTATCTATCTATCTATCTATCTATCTATCTATCTATCTATCTATCTATCTATCTATCTATCTATCTCATGTATGGAGCCAAACATCATCTTTCCAACGTTTCTACCCATTAGGCTGTTATTTGGCAATTGCGTTACTTGTCAAAACAGTAAACTAATCACGTGATTCTGAATTGGTGCTCTCCCCACCGCCCAATGTCGAAATCCAGCACTCCTGTGTGATTTTCTATTTTGGTGAAATTCAGCTTCAACCCCGCGAGTGTAACGTGACTCGTTCGCATAAAAATAAAATACGTGTGATCTCTGCAAAAGCGACTCCTTGTAGAACAAATTCGTAAGTATGGGCGCGGGCTTAATTTTTGCAGAAACTCTAAGTGTGTTGCCATAAACTGATATTGATTCGGTAGTTTGGTAGATTTGAATATTTATTTCAACCTCTAACCATAACAGTTTGTTCGTATAATTTTCTTTTTCCCCCTCTATATTTTTCGTCTGACGGTATCTATCTATCTATCTATCTATCTATCTATCTATCTATCTATCTATCTATCTATCTATCTAGCAAACTAACTAGTTAGCAAACTAACTACTTTGTTGAAGTGTATCTGGTTGGTGTTCGAGATCTGGTAATAAACAGGATTTCAGATAATGTTTTATAATTCAGTTTGCGCCTATTCCAGTATCTCGATTCGTGAGGCTATTGTTCCCTAGTTCACACGATATCATCAAATTAAAAAGATTTAAATGTAGATATTTAACCTAAATTCAAATGTATCTTACATAGAAGGTTTGTTGCATTTCTACCATATTGTCCGAGGTGAATCATGGAAATATAATGGATATAAAAAAAAATCTGCCATTTACGATACATTTTCATATTTCCTTCAAATGGCTGCCTCTAGGTATCGCGTGTCAACAAATCTCTTCAAATTCCCTGTACTTTCCTCAACACCCCGTAAAATAGTTATACCGCAATGCTGTCTGGAAAATCTTAACATCTTTTCAGATTTCAGAATTTTCCAATTTCACTTCACAATTTCCAGTGAATCTGTTATCATGGGTACAACTTTAACTAGATGTTTCACAGCTTCTATAATTCTCACATAATGCTCTTGGGATTTTTTTTACAACTATTGATGTTGCTTTTCTTTAATTTCATCCTTTGGTCAACTGGAGAGAGCGCATCCACAAATACAAAGAATTTCATTTCTTTGTTCTCAACATCCAGACCCGATCTCCTTGCTTGAATGTAGAGATCTGTTTGGGTTCCGAAATTCCAGTGCATTTTAATCTTTTTGACTTCTAAGAACAATCTTTGAATTTTGCTTATGTCATTTCTTACTATGGCCGAACGCAAGACATTTTAATTTTCAGTGTATGCTTCTTCTTATACTGTTGTGTCTGTTTTTATAGACCAACTATGCAAAGTTTATTGCATTAATTTGTGGAATAAAGTCATCTTTCTTTCTCCATAAAGTCGAAATGTCACTTCATTTGTCAACATCCCTTGGCGTAATTGGTTTCTTCAATAACAGGAAGAATATACTGAATTAATCGTGAGGATGAAGAAGCTATCAGACTGCCATTATTATGGTTTAGTCAAACTTTTAGGATTTATAAAACTTTTTGAAATTTCCAGCACTGTAAAAAAAAAAAAACAAAAAACAAAAAACAAAAAAAACAGACAAAAACAAGTTCGTAATGACTGAAACGGTCGAAATTACTTCTATATGAGCTTTAGACAGGTTATCCACATTCTAATCGAGATGTACCACATTTTATTAAAAAAATTGTAAGAATATAATAAAAATTAAACAGGCAGACATTGTCCATTGAATAATAATAAAAAACTTGGATGAATTCTTGTTGCCCTCCCCCTCTCTCTCTCTATATATATATATATATATATATATATATATCTGTGTGTGTGTGTGTATGCGTGTGATTCTGTATGTGCGTGTGTGGGGTGATTTATAAAAAATGACTGACAAATTACTCTTGCTGTGTTTTTAAAATTCTATTTTCGTGTATATAACAAGTGATTTCTTTTGGGGACTTAGTGTGTGCAGAAATGAACCAAATGATTGTTGGTTTCCTGCGCTTTTGACGAATTTCTTAGCCATTAAAAAAAAAATTATCAAAAAATTAAAGCAAAAACAAACGCCTGCTCAACCCAAATCCCTTTTTACGCTCACAAAGGTAGCATGTATATTCAAACACACGGAGTCAGTGTGGTTAGTTCACTCAGATCAACCTTCTCCAATATTATTATAAGGTTATATTGACTACATTTCTATTTCAGCTCGCAATAAAAGATGAAACCGGAGACTTTAAAATTATATTCGAAAAAGGCCGTTGTAATATTTACTTACCAACATAGCAATAAGAAAATCCCATTCTAAGATGTTCTTGTAGAATTCAGTAACAATACATTACGAAATTCATTATATAAAATGCACAATTGAAAACTCCTTTCTTCTCAATTATAATATGGAATTTCCATTTAGATATAAATTAGTGGTAATAAAAAAATCCTAACAAGAGCTCATGTGATATCATCTTATTCCTTAAAGAACTGAATAACGTAAATCAAACATCAGTCAATAACGGTTTCTCCAGATATATAATATACAGCCTAATCAAATTGGTTGTTTAAAAATTAAATAATAATGACACAGTTCACCGAGATAATAGTAATAATATTAATTTAAACCAAATGTGCATTTGGTTTTACCAAATATTGAACAAACTATTGCAAATGTATTACGAAAAATGTATTATGAAAAATTTATTACGGACAATTCAAAACAGCTAACTTTATCGTCAGTAATAACAACTCCCATGCGAAATCAAAACCATATAAAAACATCATATAGAACCACCTTTATTTACAAATTCAAATGCTCCATAGGAAAGTCTGTTCATAAATAATTATATAGGACTACTCGTTTATTAAGACGGTTGATCTTACATCTCGCAGAGTAGGGCTCCATAAAGGCACATTTAAACTATCATGAAAATGTGTCAATTTCGTTATGCAGTATACTTATCGAGAACACAAATCGGATACGCACCATCAGTTGCAAAAGGCATCTAAAATATTTGAAGTCTTATCATAAAGAACGCTTAACAACATCAACAATAAACATGGCCACAATATACTGGCTGTATTCGGGAATTTAAATGTCTGCATTTCTGTAGCTTATATACAGTTTACAAGAATAAAACTAAAATTCTTGGAAATGGCAGATAGATTAGATTTAGATAATTTCTACACACATTACGTCCCAAAAATAAATCTCTTGTTCGCATACAAGAAATATACAATAAAAAAATTATCAGAAATGCCTTGACAGTTATTTGTAATGAAAGGTATATTACAGAGGAATGATGCCCAAATACACGCCCACGCATCCATACAGACAGACAAACAGACACACACACATAAATATATGTATGAATAACAGCACATTTTTAATTATTGATTAATTAATATTTTCAGTACTGAATAAACATTAACTCTAATACAATTCTTTAAGCGATTGTCAAGAAGAATCAAAGACAATGATTAAATTATTTTTATAAGTGAAAAGCAGTTGGGAATTGGTGCGTTCTGTCATCGAAATTGATTGTAAATGTTGATCTGTTAAAATCTATAGGCAGAATTAATATGTTTAATTTTTTAGAATGTCTTCTCATATGAATATGTTGTAACATTTATGCTGAAGTTATTTGTCAGGAAAGAAGTGCGAGGGAAGAAAATTTTGGCACACAAATATTAGCTACAGAAAATAAGAGCCTTAGTGGATTAAAGCGTTAGTTCGTGAATTTGGTTACACACTAATTGTGAGTTCAATCTCTGTGTCGGGCAGCGTGTATTTGGACTCAATGAAAACAGGGCCATCAGAAATGAGTAAAAATAAAAAATAAGAACTATACGCGATATCCTTAGATATAGGAAGGGGAACGAGAACATTCTACCCCCCAACACGTAGATTAAAGGGCTCAGTTAGGAATACCCTATAGATTATCGGGATCGACATATATATCTGATGAAGCTCGGGGGACACAACGGCGTCAACATTGTGATAGCAACAACAAAGTTGAGGACAATAGTCCGCATGTAAATAGTATAAATAAAACTTACGCTTACATCTTGCAATTTCAATGAGACCTAACTGTCAATCTAACGATGCATTTCAATTCCTGAAATCGAGATGTCAACGAAGACAGCTCAACAGAACAATTGCCATAAAAAAGTATTCATAGAAAAGGCACGGGGAAGCTACGTTACGACGGTGAGGTGATTAAAACCGTAATGTCAGATCAGGAACTATAACCTTGTAGATTCTTATTTGGATTTTGTCAAGAATATATAGCAGAAGCACGATACCAGACGTGGCAGCAATATTCAATGCGCGGATGAATGGGAGACTTATAAAGATGCAAGGTTCTGGCGAGAATAATTGTGTAGCACAACACAGTGAACTAAAATTTCTAGCAGTAGACCAAGCAATTAATTCGATATAATCCAAATCAAGTCAGTGGAAAACGTTAGACCAAGAAAGCGCAATAAGTTACTCTCTTGAAGGTTACTATCCGCTATGCTGATGGAAGCCAATAATATTTCTCTTAGACGATTAAAAGAGAGTAGTTTAGTTTTAGAGGTGTTAAAACTAACAAGCTGTGTTTTTGTCATGGTTAACAACAGATTGAAAGTTATTTTCAAGATCATTTGACAAAATTTACTTTATTGAATATATCAGACTTGCCATAAAGACAGGACATACACTGGCACACTTCTTGCTGTAAGCCAGACGAATGTCCAGAGAGATTTGATGATATTCGTTGATTAGATTTTTGTGGTAGGGACTGATAAACCTTGATGCGATAAACTGACTCGGTAGAAAGGAAACGGATCTCAAATTACCAACCTTTTACTCCGATGTCAACTGATCTTTGTTAAGAAATCGGCACATGCGGAGGATAGATTTGTTTAATGTTCACAGTCACAATCTCAAATATCAATTCCTCAAAATATACTACCTACCGTTTCTCCGAAAATAAAACCAAATTTAATCTTTATTTCGTTTATAATTAATCCTAAACAAGTCAATGATAATTTCTGTTATAAACTGAAACTGTTACAACTCTCGCTCCTGTCTTTAGTTAATTATTCTCTGAAACAGTTGCAATTTTGGAGTAAAAATCACAATTTAGACAATAGAAATTCATTATAAAGTTGCAAGATTGTGTCGTTTTTGAAAACCTAAAACTACTAAATTCTGAATTTTGCTACTTAAGACTATTGGATTATTTGGGATACTAATGAGAAAGTTAATCCAAATTTTGTATCGATAAACTTTCAAATGAAGCCGAAGTCGCAATTTGTCACATTTGCTAACTCTGACGCATTACTATACACGTGCTTAATGTGTGCGCATAAGTATGTATATCTATCTATCTATCTATCTATCTATCTATCTATCTATCTATCTATCTAGTTGTGTGTAAATATATATTTTGTAGTATATAAAGCACATATTTTTATGTGCTTGTCCAGATGCGTG